TGATGCAGAGTACTTTCTGTCGGGCGGACGCTTGCGCCACCTAGCTCACGCATGCTCAATTACAGCATTCAGTTTAGTTTCGGTTTTGAAATGCGACCGAAATTGGTCCTTTGGTGCAGGCTTGGCGCAGATCACCCATATTTCGGCAAAATGTAGCAGCATGTAGCAGGGTTGGGCCCTTGGCGCAGCAATCACATCACTGTAGTATAAGAAGAGTAGACAGAATAACTAAATTGTAAAACTTTTTTGGAGAAGTTTTAATTCTTCAGCAAGATAGTTCTGCCATGGAGACCATACAGATGATGAATGTTCTAACTTAGGGCATACAAAGGTAAGGTATGCAACGCATTTATTATTAGGAGGGGCTAGTATTAAATTGTCCAGGAGAAAGTCAAGTGCGCTGTCTTCCTTAGCGATAGTAGGTCTAATGCGGGTGATCCGTGTAAAATTTCTTGTTATATAAAGAAAAACATATTTATAAAACAAGAATGTGCTGATGATGGTATCGTTAATACTGTAGACATAAAAAGATGGTAATGAAAGCTGAGCAAATGTAAGCAATTTGCATTTCTTTATCCTCGAGGACAACAGCCACTATCACACCAACCCGCTATGGATAATAAGGCAGTTTGCAAGGATAAGTGATGATCGCCATCTGTGACAGGAGTAAATTAGTCATCTGTGAAAAGTCAGATAGTGGACGCAACACGAAAAGGATGATCATTGATACAGATTAGGAAAAGAAGCGGTCTGAGCATGTTTTCTAAAGGAATGCCCAATGTTAAGTTGGACTTGGATCACATGAAGTTATTTATAACAGTGCATTGAACTTGATTGGAAAAAAAGTCAGTCAAATTTAGGGGTTTTACGTGCCAAACCTACGACGGGCATCTGGCACGCCCCAGCGGAGGACTGAGGATTAATTTTGACCACCTGGGGATCTTTTGACGTGCAACCGAAAGCTCGGTTACACGGCGCCTTCTCCGCAATAAGCCTCCGTCATATTGTGGGGGCACCTCGGTCGGGATTCGAACCCGCCACCTGGGGATCTGTAGGCCGGCGCTGTCGTCTCAGAGCCACCGAGGCGGCTAACTTGATTGGAAACAAATTAGAAAATCCAGGCAACAATAAAGGGATCAATTGTGACATTGCACGATAAGGTGGTTATGAGACACCAGGGCCGTAACCAGGGGGGGAGATAGGGGGTTCTGACCCCCCCCCGAAATTTTTTTCTGGGTACGGCCCTGGTCGGTGCACTTGCAGCCAGCCGATTTTAATCTCCACCTCTGCGCACGCGCAGTGGCGCGGTCGGCTACCGGATACCAAACCGGGACCGGTTCTCCGGTTTGCTGCAACTCTCCATTATATACCACCGATGCACATGATTCATAGGTGAAAATAAGACAATAGACACTTTCAAAATGGCCGCCGTTGTCGCCAAAAACCCCCCCCGAAATTTTTTTCTGGGTACGGCCCTGTGAGACACCCTGTCAAATGCTTTTGAGAAGTCTAGGAATATACAGTGGTGAAACTGACAAGAGGTGATTTGGAGCAGCTCTTGTAACAGGAAAAAATCGGTTTTGGAGCAGACAATTTTGAGCTTTCATGTCAGAAAGTTTTATACAATCTCTTCGAAAGTTAGCCCATAGAAAAGACTGTAGCTGTTGGAGCATTGGGAGACTGAAGTGTTATGCCCACAGAGGACCTGGCCTGTACAGATATTTATTTATTTATTTATTGAACAGTCATACGCCAGCAATTTTGTAGAAGTCTCAATTAACCTATTATTAGTACCGATGGCATCTTCAGTCTGTGTTTAACGTAAAAAGATATTTTCGGCTACTTTGTAGCGGGTTTTATTACAGTGACGTAATTGTCACAAATTTAACATCAAACGGACACTTATGGTTGAAAGTGCCTCACATTGCCCTCCCTCGTATTCAACTTGCTGCTGTTCATAGAACAGCTAAGCGGAGCACATAGCTACTCTAACCGATCACGAGTAACGGTAGCTATTCATTGCGATCGATGTGAGCACCGTTCGCAAAAAAAAAAGAAAAAGACGACAACTCTTCATTTGGCATGAGCAAAAATAGATGTTGGGTTTCAAGCAAATTCAAAGTGAATAGTAATAGTTCTTTCGGTCGAATATTTTTTAATTGAATATTGAAGACTTTTTGCACCTTTCTCCATGCCTTTTACTACTGTTCCACCATGCTTAAACAAAAATTCAGCTGGACTCACGAAGGTTGTTCCTAATTGCCCACTTATGAGTAGTTAAATTTAATCTAGCTATATTTATAGACTGTAGCCTCAGAACGTCCAGTACCTACAGTGGGATGGCAAGTAAATGACAAATTTGACATAAAATTAAGCCTATAAAGGAGCCTAGCCATACATAATAGAGGGGATTTTAAAAATTTTGTGCCTATATAAAAATATTTTTGTTGATTCTGAATTTAAAAAAAGCACAAACAATAAACAGAGGTTTTTTGAACATTGCTGCCTACAGCCTGTTGTAACTCAAGAAGGTAGGGTGAGGGTAAGACGGGCCAGGAAAGAGGAAGCAGATGGAATGCTGGAGAAGAGAGGGGGAAATCTCTCTTAAGTGTTCCGTCTGCTTCCTCTGCCCCGGCCCGTCTTACCTTCACCCTACCTCCTTGACTTGCAACGGACTCTAACATATACCCTTGAATAATAGTCACAGTTAAATTTTGAAGATTTTACTGCAATGTAATAATAACGATCCCAAAACTTTTATGTTTTTTTGTTTTGTTTTTTTCTTTTAATATACATTAGGCCTGCGCGTGCACCATACTAGTTTGAAGATGTGCTTTTCGCATAAGCGCGCGAATGAGCTGCGGCGAAGCGGGTAGCGAGATCACTGTGTCAGCTTCATGGGTATTGCTTCTCCGCAGTGCAACTGTGTTTGAGGAGAAGCGCACTCAAGGGGGCTAACCCACCGCAATCAACACTTCGAAATGTATGAATATTGCAGTTAATTTTTTAAGCGAATATCACCATATTATTTCAAACTACTATTAGAAAATTAAAATATTCGCGTAGCTCTATTCTTCGCACATACTACTTAGGCATCAAGAAAAAAAAAACTACTTTCTTAACTTTCAGTGGCATCGCTTGTCCCGTGCCAGACACTTTCAGTTTCCTTTTCGAGAACTGCTCCCTTTCGGCGCAGACATGACGCAAATTGCGCGCAAATACAGCCTTTAGAGCAGCATGTAGCAGGTTATTCATTCTGGCACAGTTTGGCGCAATTAGCGCAGCAGTTTTACCACTGAATATAGCAACGGTTTGTTGTTTACGTTGCAAATTTGATTGAATGTCATGTATAAATCACAAAAGTTGTATTTTGCATGATAATGTCTTTCTAAATCTGTGCTTATTTTTGTTTAGGAGCATATTAGGCTCAGTGTATCTAATGATGTTTGAAGATATCATGCTGAGTGATATAGAACAATAGTGAGGTGAATTTCTATCTCCGAACCTATGTACCTACTTTTTGTATAACATGTATTAAGTTATGTTAATCGTTTAGTTAACGCGTTTTCTGTATACATTTATTACCCTGATTGTTTTTCCTGCATCTCCGTCACCATCTGCCAAGCTCTCGGGGCCCGGACCTAGTAAGCCAACAAAGATTGGCTTTTTTGTCCGTGGTTTCGACATCTGTACTTGCAGATGCAATAAATGATTTGATTTAATGTACAGGGATTACATGGCTGATTTTTAAAAAGGCCCTGCAAGGACTTTTGTACTGGTTTTTAATTTGCACCGAACCTGAGTGCACTGAATGTCGTATCTTAATGAAACTGTTCTTTTCACGAATTTTACTTTATTTTAAAAGATATAGGCAAATTAAAAATACAAAAACAAGCACAAAAACCCTCTTTCATGACGTCCTCGTCGCTTGAGTGGTCGTGAACTAGAGCAGGATTAGTGAGCTCAACAAGCACACACGGCTGCCGCACTCCGTGTCGATGGCTCGAGAGGGCGCCACTAAAGCATGTTCCGGCTAGGCTGTATGAAGCGGGCGGCCAGGGTGGCTCGCACTGCACTTGCTGCACGATTAAACACTGATTCGGCATGACACTTCATTGGCCACCAACGATAGCAAACACGAGTTAAAAATCAGTTCAGAAAGGCAGCCACTTCGCGCTACCATACCACCAAACGGCCAAATCGCAAGCCAAATCTGCTCGCCAAAGGCCTTCGAAACGCTCGGAACCAGTCGGATCCTCGAACCGTATACGACCGCAGCGCCGCCACGTACATCGGAGACCTTTCTACACTCGCCGCTCATCGGTGCCTGACCCCACTACCCCTCTAGTATGCGCCGCTTTTTCCACCGATTGGTGGTGGATATGTCGACGAGTCATTTCTTGTTTCCGTCTTTATAAACTGCATTTGTTTATTTTCTGATCTAAAATACTGAACAAAAAGTACTTTCATAAATATCTGAAACGGTTCGCGCCACTTATATTTTGTATTTCGACTAAAAAGAAGCTTTTAGCGGGTCTGACCAGTAGACTACACAAATTGCGCGCTTTCGGCACCGCAGGTCGCCCCCGTAGGTGGAGGAGGTTTCCACATCGTCCGGTTAAAATATAACGCACTGGTATTTAGTTACTCTCTCCGTGCCCGCTGCCTTGCCCGAACCCCAATAGATTTGGAAACCGCAAAGAAGGTAGACACTTAAATATGATTGCAGGGCCCCTTTAAGTCAAGAGGTATGCTACCAGAGGAGTGATTCTCGATAGATGTCAGTTAGAACCAGAAATTCTATATGGCTTGGTGTTTTCCATGACTGCAATTTTATGTGGTTGCCACCAGAACTTGTGGAAAGTTCCAGATCTTCAATGGCTAAGGATGTATATCTAACAATTATATTCTGCAGATATTAAACAGGGAATTGCCATTATTACACAAATAATTACAATGCTCCAAGAAGTAATTCCACTAAAGAATAAAACTGAACATACCAACAGCCTCCTGTCAGCAGCTTCCATGAGTCTTGGTAGTTTCAAACTGCAACATGTCCTCTAGAAGTGGAGCATAAATGGCTCTGGTCTGTGCCTGGTCTGGTGCTCTAGCTGTCTGAGGGCCATGAGTCCACAGTCACTTGAGCCTTGGTTTCACCCCTCTATTCTTCTACACGGGCCACAAGCTGTAGTACCAGGCTTGCAGTAGAAAAGAAACTGAAGGTGTTAAAGATGCACTGCTGAAAAGACAAGGCACAAAAAAAACCATTAACTACTTAGCTTGAAAGGTGCTAAAAAAGAAAATCATACAGATTTAATTAGAACAAAACTTTGAAGATTCATCTCAACCACCCAGGTATTGTGAACCTAGACTGATCTTGCAGCACAATAAGCCTCAGTCAAATTGCAGGAACCTCAGTCTGGTTTACAACCTAATAACTCGGCATCTTGCCTCAAAGCCAACTTTCAATTAACAGCTAATACATTAAACTATGAAGATACAGCACCAATAAGAGATGAGCATGGTCATGACAGCCTGCTTGACTTACAGTGTCAAGTTAAGGGTTAATCAATGAAACTATTCTCCTATGCCCTTGAAAACTGTGGTCGAGACAAACGTTACAACCAAAAAGATACTTCAAGTAGCTGTCAGCATGCGCTGTACAAGCAGAAGTGTCAAGGGAAGGTTGAAAGGGCCACAGGAAAGCACTGGCTTCCCAAACCTTAGATCCGCCACCCGAAAAACACCCTACTTTCACAGGGAGGAGGGAGCTAGCTTTGTGGCTACAATTTCAGCTATCTGCTCACGTGATAGGGACAGTATACCCAACCTCAACATCAGATTGGACATAGACTGAAGGTTCAGTTGACCGACTGCTTACAAAGCAAATTGCACGGACCAGAGGAGCCTGCTTTAGTATGTTGGTCAGCGACTGTGTGCTGAAAAATTAACAAATAGGGAAGAGTCATGCTAATGCAGTGCTTATATCTGTAGTGAGTTTGAAAGAAAAAGATTATGCACGTAAAATGCTTTCAACAGGCTTGTGAATGTGCATTAAAAATTTGCATAAAGATGTTGGCCTGAACTAGGTTTCGGTCGGTGCTGCTTCAATTGCTCACAACTGATCTCATTCCAGGGGTAGTGATTAACAGAAATAAAACAGGCACAAAGGCTGTTTCACACACTTGCGACTGCTTCTGGCTGGAGAGGTTAAAAGACTGGCTTTAAACCTCTATAAATGCTTATGACTGCCGTGCCGGTTGTAGGCAGTTGCAAGTGTGTGAACCATGCCTGCTTTCTTCTGCAGTAATACACTGCACAAGGAAACTTATTGTATGTTTCTATAGTTGCAACACAAGAATGCGGTGAGACTGGAGTATTCAAGTTCTAGTGCGGTGAATCACAGTTTGCTCTTCTATTTAGGCCTGCAAGAATGATGTCCTGGGAATAATAACAACATCAAGCCTATACAAACAAAAACACCTACCTGCTTCCAATCATACTTTGAAAAGACCTTGTTTTTTAAGGCATGGCCAATAAAAGAAAAAGCTGATGGCCATAGAGAATCTTCAGTCACAGAAATAACACTATATACTGCCATATATGTCAGGATAGACCATATCCCAAATTAACCATGCACAAAAGAGAATGCTGAGAATGTATGAACATACACTGCATGTGCTGGTGTCTGCAAGCGAATCTGTTCAAAGGTAAAAATCTAAAATAAATAGCACATTGCACACACATTCCTCGAAACCCTATTTTGGTTTTTTGCCTCGAATCCTTTATGCAGAGAAGGCAAGCGTGTGCAGCATGTGTACCTACGTTTCCAGCATTCCCCTTGGTGCTTGGGTAATTAGCAAAAAGTCTATTGCTGAAGTTGTGTCAAATGTGTGTCCAAGCAACACACTGTGGTCGTTGCAGACATCGTGCTTGCAACGGATGCTGTCAAAGCTACAGCTCCTGATGCAAATTTCTGAAAGGGCCATTAGAGGCAAGCACACATGTCAAAACGTCGGTGAGGGGGGGGGGCAACTTACCGGTGAAATTCCGCTGCCTCAAAGAATCATGACCACCTGTGACATCTTCGGGCGATAGTAGCTCCTGGGGTGCTATTAGAAAATAAGATGGATTGTTAGGTACAAATCTTCTAATACTCAGAATTTAAAAAATAACTATCAATTGAGTACAGAACCCTCAGATGCATCTGCTATATAAATGCTTGTGCAGCGAGAGCACATTCGAAAAATGCGACCTCCTGCTGAAAATAACAATGTATGTATGCTTTACATGCAGCATTTCTTTGCAGAGCTGGTGGTTGCATATTATCACTGTTCTCGAACTTCCACTTCTATGGTGCACAACCATGTGTTCTATGTTGAAATAGAACACAGGGCTCTCAAACCAATAAGTGTTTTCACGACAATGTCATACCTACAAGTGTTCATTCTGTTGTTTGTTTGTTTTTTCCTGTTTTTATCTCTTGAGACATATGATAGTTATCTCTTCGCTGTTTTTGTAGCTCGCTTTGTCAAGAAGATGAAAGAGAATACCTTGTCAAGCAAACAACTGTTGGCTTTTTGTCTGCCTCCCAGCATTTGTACTTGTACAGGTGCAAATAAAATGATTAATTGATTGATTGAACTAACACAAAATGGAAGTGCAACAATCTAATTCATTCCCTATAATCAAACAACAGAATTCACGTTTGAAAACAATACAGGTGCCTTCACTAAGGGAAGAAAAAGGTAAAATGTAGGCTTCAAAAAGCAAACATATTGTAGCCAATGGCGTCATGTCACTTGACACTCAGCAGACTACTTCCCGCTGCATATGCTTAGCTGTTGGCATAGGCACATAGCCCCCTGCTTCTCTCATTCACCGTCCTCTCCCCCTCCCTCTTTGTGTCACACCCTCATGGAGCTTTGGGAAGCAACTTGAAGCCAATATATATTTTGTTGCAAGTTAAAAGCCTGGGTCATCTGTATTATATTTTATGTCCCTCTTTTCTTGCCCAGTTTTCTCGCTAGACTGGCCAGGCAACAATCAAATGCAGGCGCACTTACTGCTCCCTCTCTTAAATCTAGGCTCTCTCCGTCATCTCCGCCGGCATGTTGTCGTTAGCGCTCCGAACGCCTCTATCGGCATGCCACAACGGCTTCTCCGCGTGCAATGCGGTAAAGCTGCTTCCCAGATAAGGAGCGGAGAGCAGACGACGGCCTTTCCCGCATCTTCTACTGCCTGTTTTGGGTGCCTTCTTGGTCGTGACAGTAAGGTGCGGCGGTCTGAGACTTAGGGCCAGTTGCACCAATGCAGCTTAACGCAAATCAGAGCTTAGCAGGGAACCTAAGCCGAGTTTTGGTTTTGTTCTGTTGCACCAAAATCACTTATCGCTAAACCTAGCACTAAACCATGCCTATCGTGAGCGCTCAACATCGGGTACTTTACTTGGTCGTTTCTTAATCCTGGATTTAAAACATGCCGGCTGGTTTGTGGCGGTCTACACGGTGGACGAAATTGGTTGTACAAAGTGTTTTAGGCTACAGCAGCGTGAGAGCCTCAACAGAATGACCTTCGATTGCGACAGATGCAAAATATTATGTGAAGTGTTTATCGACCCGCTTTCAAGTTGACTTTCCAGTCTCAGTGTGTGTTAGCCCTAACCAGGGAAGGTATGCAGATGTGGGGCTCACGCACGGCTCACGTCCATCTTCCCATTGGTTTTTATTTCAGCGTGCTTATTCGTATGCAGTTATTTGCGCATATCTGTAACGTATTGCTATTTACAACCTTGTTTATCTTAGAGCGCAGCTCTTAGGCACCCGTTTCCGGCTTGAGTGGAGTCGGCGTAACCGCACGGTGCATTATGGAACACTACCCATGATGCAATGCGCAGGGAGGAGGATGAGGGGGAGGGAAGGAAGGAGGAGGAGGGGGAAGAGAAGGAAGGAGGGGAGGAGAGAGGAGCTTGAAGGATGAGGTGAGGGGGAGGTGAAGGAAGATGAGGAGGAGGGGAGGAGTAGCAGGGAGGATGAGTGGGTGAGGAGGAGCAGGGAGAGGGGGTATACCCTCCCCTCAGTACCCTTCCCTCGTCTTCTTTAAGAGCTGTGCTCTAATTCGGCGTTACAGGGTGTTGTAAACGTCAGATTTTTACTTTCAACGCATTTCCTTTTTTCCAATCAGCACGTTGAATAGCGGCAGTGCACGATCTCGGCGATCAGCCGATTGTAGCCCCATTCTTCCGTTGTCATTAAATTGCGGTGAACAACGCATTTAGACAATAATGCAACGAAAAGGCTATTTTTTTTTTTTTTTTTTAGTGTTAGGACAATTTTTAAGAGAAGTTTCTTTGTCTCCCGAGTAAAATCTTAGCTTCGGAAAACTGTGTCGTTCTACAGTCGAAACTTATCTGGTGACCGCACTTTGTAGCGGCGACAAGAAATCATAACGACTAAGATGCGAGATTTGCTCAGCACTGTATTAGGGCAGGCTGTGGCGGGTGGTGCGAAGAGATGACTGTTCTCATAGACACAATGTGATGACCTAGTGTGAGTTTTCATACTTCAAAGACCGCCACCGCCTTACGTTCAACTAGGGAGACAGGCAGTGTACTGTGCCACAGCTCACACGCCATGCCCCTCTGGGTACAGATGTTACAACATGTTCTGCAGTACCGTAGAAGCTAATAATCGTTCAGTAATTGTATTTGCACTTCGATATATTTAAATTGTTGTCAAAATTGAATACAATATTTACTTTTATTTTTGGGGTGCACTTTGTTGCAATGCACATAAGTTGTGTTGTGAAGTAGGCATCATGAAAATACCCAGTATTTCTGTTTTCTGGCTGCACTTGGAAATTTTTTATACAAATATGTATGGTTAAATTATCCTTGGCAAGCAACTGGACCCCAGCCCTAGACTCAAGCCTTGCTTATTCCAGCATCTGCTCATCTATTTTCTTAAGGAAATAATTCAGGTACTAACAAAAACATGAAATGGTTATGAAGGCTGAACGGGAATCTGAATGGTTTATTTTGGAAAATCATGTAGGTCATAAATGACCTAAGCTTAATGTGATAATCCTAGTGTTGGTTTTCATGATTGAGATCTGAGGCAGAGCAGGTGAAATAGAAAAGAAACTTTGTACAATGTCTAGGTCTAAGGCACAGCTTGTATTTGTTTGCTAAAAGACAGAACTAACAGACACTTAGAAAAACCCTCAACACCTAGGCATAGAAATTAGAACAGCATAATAGAACCAGAGGAATGAAATGCACGACTGCCACAGAAAGATGGAACTTTACCAATCTGGGGAAACTTTACGTAACACTGACTATTTAAAATAAGTGAGAAACCAGACCGTAATGCAGCTTGCTTTTTGAACTAACCTAAAATTAACTATCTTCAATTTTATGAGCTAACAAAATAATGACTGATGCAGCACAAAGAAAGTCAGAAGGTCAAGTTACAAGGTTACATGTAAAGACCCCAAGTTAGCAGTCATGCTGCATATGGTAAGTTTTCTTTCTGCAGTGGAGACACAAACAGTCTAATTTCATAGCTGACTGATTCATCACTCTCTGAAGGCTAACAACCCATTTAATTTTGACTTTTATGACCATAATAAGGTCAAAGTAGGAAAGTTTTAACCTACACAAAGATATACCAGGTGTTTCTTTCAAAACTTAACAGATTTGTTTAAAAAGCCGTGAAAGTTACACTTATGCGGTTTGTGCAGATGAGTTATACAGCCAGGGGGATAGAGTATTGGGGCTAATTGTAACGATCAGTCAGCTAATTATTTAAAATTCGTTAATTAACTTTTTAAATAATTAAAAATCGACACATAGTTCCAATTAGAAACTTGCTAAGCGCCATTGAAAACCACTAAATCAACTCTTTTTAGAACATAAAGCATGGGCAGCATTTTACGTCGTTCTAATGAAGCGCTCAATTTGGATGTGTTTCTAGGTTTCGCTTACTTATCCGAGCACATCTCTGCGCCCGCAATCCTGTCCCCTCCCCCTCCCCTCCCCCCCCCTCCTCCTCCTCCTCCTCCTCCTCCTCCTCCTCCTCCTCCTCCTCCTCCTCCTCCTCCTCCTCCTCCTCCTCCCCCGGTAGTCGCGGCGCAAAGCCACTCCCTCGCTTACCTTGTAGCATAGAGGGAAGTTGGGCGCAACTGTGTTGCACGTCTTAGCCACTGTCGAGCAGGACCGTGGGAGCAGAGATGCACTGCAATAACAAATCGAAACCTAGAAACGCGTCCACATTGAGCGTTTTCATGGAACGCTGTAATATACAGCCCCTGCGTTATATCTTTCGAAAAAGAGTTGATATAGTGGCCTTAGGTGACGCTGAACAAGTTTCTAATTGGAACCACATGTCTATTTTCATTTATTAAAAAGTTAATTAACGAATTTTACTTAATTAGCCAACTGATCGTTACAATTAGCCCCCTATACTATGTTCCCTTGGCCGTATACCTCACCTGCGCAAAACCGCTTTAATGTAACTTTCATTTTTTAAAACAAAGCCACAAAGAGTGTCTTGGTGTAAATGCTATATGTATTCCGTTACTAAGATTGGCTCATGAAGTAAACTAAACAATAAATAAGTATGGTTGGAGCCAGAATGCAGACGTTACGAAGGATCCATGTCGTACGAGGGTGATTAAAAACTTATTTCACTTTGGTCAACTTACACCTTCTGTTGGCTGCACTGTCTTATCGGCACTTTTCATACAAGGTTGCTGTATCTCCAGTCACTGCTGTGCAGGCTTGAATCTGTTAAATCAGTTCAGTTGGGACTGAGGTGCTAGGAAGAATGGCTGTCCCATGCTTAATTTGTACAAGTGAATCAGTCATCGTTCTCGTGATATGAAGGGGTGTCCAGTAATTCCATATATATGAATATACCGATATCCATAAAAAAAACTTTGTGCACAGTATTATGGAAATGTAAATGTTTTCTCGCAAAGAAATGCGTTTGAATGGATACAGAAGTTCTATGAAGAATGCACGAGTGGCAGTCATAAAGGAGCCAATGCCCATCCATTTCGACGACTGAGAATGACGTTGAGACACATCCGCGAGAGGTGTTGAGACACTTCTGCAAGGCAATGAGGGATCTCCAGAGGAAACTCAAATGCTGAAGATAATCAGAGTATTGTCATCGTCCCCATATCATAGTCAATCATTGGTCTTGAATGGTGCTATTATATTCGAGTTCTCTATTTTGTGACCACACTTGCCTCCAGATGGCTCCAACATACTGAGAACTACCCCGGGATAGTCATCGGCCTCCGATTGAAGTCAATAATTGGTCTTGAATGGTGCTATGACAACAAAGTTTCCTTTCTGGTGAGCCAACTTGCCTCCAGACATCTCTGCAATGATGAAAACTACCTCGGAATGGTCGTAGTCCTCTTATTGTAGCCAATAATTGGTCTTAGACGGTGCTATGACAACGAAGTTTCCTTTCCGGTGAGCCAACCTGCCTCCAGATGTCTCTGAAATGATGAAAACTACCTCGGAATGGTCGTCGTCCTTCAATTGTAGACAATAATTGATCTTAGATGGTGCTATGACAACAAAGTTCCCTTTCCGGTGAGCCAACCTGCCTCCAGACGTCTCTGAAATGATGAAAACTACCTCGGAATGGTCGTCGTCCTCCAATTGTAGCCAATAATTGGTCTTGAACGGTGCTATGACAACGAATTTTGCTATCTGGTGAGCCAACTTGCCTCCAGACGTCTCTAAAGTGCTGAAAACTACCACTGGATGGTCGCTGTCCCTAAAGTGTAAACTGAACTTTGAAAAAAAAATGTGGTCGTTAAAATTATTAAAAATCATTTGACAATTTTGTAATCCTGACATGTTGCAAAGGGACAGATGCTTAAGGAACTATATCATGTAAAATTTACTGAAAGGACAGATATAAGGGCACTGCCATTCTGATTTCAAATGCAGCAATGATAATAGGCACATTCAAGTCCCACTAAGTTTGTGCTTAGGTCTTGCACTTAGGTGTTTGCTGCTCCAAAACAGTGTTTTGGAGCAGCAAATGTGGCCTTTGGAGCGGCCAAGATAGTGTGTTTTGGAGCAGCAAAAGTGGCTTTTGGAGCAGCGAAAACAGTGTTTCGGAGCAGAAAAAGTGACTTTTGGAGCACACATTCTTAGAAAAATAAATATTTGTTTTAAATGCTGGACAAACGAAGGGCACTTTGTGTTGTGTTGTGATGCGACGTGTTTGGGCGGAATTCGCTGCTTGTGTTTTTGCTGCTGAGACATCCCACAAGTATACAGTGCTGTAAGCGTTGCCAAGCAATTCTGAAAAAAAAAACAAAAAAAACACTTGCTTTCGTTTTACTGGTTTTCAACGTGGCAGATCTTCATAAAAAGTAAGCAAACGCAAGACATTAGATTGCAAGCGTCCTGGATGGTGCCTCTCGTGCAATCATGTTCACATGCACGTGAGGGCAACTTCGGCAGGCTTGCACCTAGACGTGCTTCGTCGCATGAGCAGAGACAACGGCTGTTCGACCGAAACCGAAACCATGCCACTCCGCTTTGTCGCCAACTGGTTCCCAAAATAATATACATGTACAAAATGTAACTGTCCAGCATACGACAAACAGTCCAGCGGTGCGTGCTTGCCAGGCCGGTGGGCGCGGTACAAGCTAAACACACAAAAAAAAAGGACCTGAGCGTATCGATGCAAGACATTGCGAGCCAGGGTCAAGAAGTTTTTGGAGCGCTTTGTGCAACGACTGAACTCGAGACAAACAAGCGTGCTGTGCAGGTTCAGCGTGCAGGCATTGCCTTCTTTGCTTTAGGTCACTTCTCATCATCAACATTCTTTCGCGGCAGATTTTTCACGTACCGGGGTCCCTCTCGGGAGAAAGCCCACCGAGAGAAACCTAGGTAATTATTATTTCGACACAGCAGTCATTGAGTTAAAGAGGGATTTTTATAGCAGCGTATGATTTAAACAAGAGCAGGAATGTCGATGCGTTTCAGTTTAGAAAGCATTATATCTGCAGCAAAGTGGGGACGGCAACACGCGACGTCGCGCGACGAGAGTTACTTTGTGAGCTTTGTGAGCACAAAGTAACTCTTGCCACGTAAAAACGTGGTTTTGTTTCTCAGCATGACGGCAAGTCTGGAACCCGACACACTAACGTCGGAGTGTCCGCGCACACGGCCGCGTCTATCACTAAAATATTAAAAAAAAGAAAAAAAGACGCGAGATGAGATTCCCGAGACGACGAGAGTGCGAAACGCGAGACGGCGGGAAAAATCATGCAAGACTGCATAGATGATTGATGCAGGGTACTTTGTGTCGGGCAGCGTCTTGTGCCACCTAGCCAACGCATGCTCAATTACGGTTCTCAGTTTAGTTTCGTTTTTGAAAGGCGACCAAGATTGGTCCTTTTGCGCAGGTTTGGCACAGATTAGCCATATTCAGGGGTGGAAGCGGGCTAGAGCCTTTTGTAGCAGGGCTGGGAGCAGCAAAAGTCCCAATTTGGAGCAGTTTTGGAGCAGTAAAACGCTCGCTTTAGAGCAGCTCGGGAGCAGCAAAAATAAGTTTTGTAGCCGTAGAAGTAGGTTTTGGAGCAGGTCACGGAGGTCAAACAGGTAACTAAAAGTGATTTGTTGTTGCTAAATGTGAAAATGAAGCAAAAATATATGCATGCACATCCCAGAATAATTTTCAAGCAACATACATACACATTTTTCTATTTCTATTGCATTGAAATATGGAATATTGGCAATTTATGCAAAGGAAAGGCTTTGAGAACCATTCCGGCAGCAGGCAGAGTCATGATAGACTTTATATGGGAGGCCCCGACAATAAAAGCCTAACTTGAGCCACGCCAGTACAAAACCGTCTACTTAATAGACCAATTGTAAACATGTATCCAGAAAACTAAACCACTGCAAGGTGTCAGATAAACTACCTTCGCTGACTACAGCTTTTGTTTAATAAAGAATACACATGTTCAATCACTACTTAAAAAGCCCTCCCTATTGGAAAACCCCAATATAAACAGCGTATTATGGATATTGGTAAACAATATCTTTTTATTGTATTGCAATACAATATAGACAGTGTATTGGAAAACATTACATTTATTGTATTGTATTACAATAAGGATTTGTTATGGGATTCCAATATCCATAATACGCTGAAAATATTGGAATCCAATACCGTATAAACCCTTATTGGATCCCCATGTGTCGTATGGGGATCCAATAAGGGTTAACGATTCCAATATACTCAGCGTATTATGGATATTGGAATCCAATATATTATATCGGCTACCAATAAAACTATATGCGAGTTGGAATATCACGTTCAGCACGACATTTCTTTGCAACACAGTCTCTTCTTGTGTGTATTCTGAGTGATAAAATAAAAAGTGTTGTTGTCAAATTATGAATAAAGAAGCAAAACACTGGGCTTATCCATACCAAATATATTTAACATATTCCTGAACTGGAGGATCTGGCATTTACTGCAAAAGAAAGTTAATTGTTTAGGACCCTCATTCAAAAACTTGCTGTTTGAAAACAGAATGTGAAATCCTCACCTTTTAATGAAAGCAGCACCTGCTAGCTGTAGCCATATAGAAACTGCAAAATAAAAATTTGTGATTAGTTCGCAACAAGTAGCAATCCTTCACTAAGCTGGATAGATTTAAAATTATGTCTGCGTTTGATTGTGAAAAAATAAGCTTCCATTCCACTGCCACGGATCATTCTGAGCTCCGTCAATTAAATAAACCTATCGGCTCGTCTGGCTTTACAGTTCCTGCTTTGCACCTAACCACGGTGAAAGATACACTCTTTAGGTGAGGACACGCCGGGGCTGAACGCGCGGCACGAGGAATCAAATAGTGTTCGTTCGACGGGCATCCGAAAGACTGCATCATTCGACTGCCACCGTGCCCGCGACTGACAGTGTCACCGGCGGCCAAACGGCGGAACTGTGTGACAGCAAAAACTCATTATCTCGTTGTCATGACACCCCGGTACACCATGGTCTTTCTGCACGTGTGACAACCTCGCTGGGGCTCTGCGCGTGTGGTACATAAGGCGGCACGAGCCGTCTTGAACGTGCCCACGGGTCGACGAGTCACCTGCTGGCGTTGCTTGAAACCAAAGTGAGAGAGTGTGAAGGGCGAACTTCATCGGGCCGTGGCCAAGAGCGCGCTGTCCTCACCTGAAGAGTATTATCTTACACCGTGCACCTAATTAAAGTATCTGGAATGCTCACCTTTGAGGAAAAACGAACTGGTGCTTGCTTGCTTGTAGGCCGTGGAAACTGGGACAAACTGGGAGAGAGATTTGCGATTAGTTGCGTTCAAGTAGCAATTACATTGAGTAGCCCCGTAAAGTACACTAAGTCGATAGGATGGAAGCTTGGGCGAGTTGGTGAACCATACTTGGCGGTGACAGCGCAGCAAAATTAATCTCACACCAGACACTCAGGAAGACAAGCACACGCGCTGAACTTACAACTCTTGTGTATTCGACTGCTTCATTTTTCTCTTCAACGTCTGGGTTGACTTTTCAGAACGTGATAAGTAGAAGAAGTAGCACAAAATACCAAGAAAAATTCTAAAGAGAAGGCAAAAGAACAGTAAAAGAGAAGACAAATGAAGAAACGGAAAAAATATCTAAACGAAACACTTTTCCGAATTGTCCCTCTCCCTCATCGCTATCATTTAGATAGAAATTGGAGCTCTTTGGTCGACAGCGCTATAGAAGGACTACTTACAGACTTGTCCTTCAGCTGTGCTATCCTTTCCGCTTCCATTATTTCTCTAGTCAATGCGTCTCTACTCCTACCTATTACAGAACAATTTTCAAAATGTGCTATACAGCCACAATCGCGACAATGGATTCCCAAGTGTCCAGCTACGACTCGGTGGGTGTTATAAAAATGCTCTCTTAAACGATCATTCAAACACCTTCCAGTCTAGCGTACATACTCTCTACCACATGAGAGTGGGACAGAATATACGACTCCTTCAGTACAATTTACAAAGCTCTTTTGGTGCTTTTTCAAACAACCAACTTCCCGGTGTGCCGAACCGTTCACCTTCCTGCACAGGCTTAGAAGCTTATTTGGTGCTGAAAAAGCAACATTAATGTTAATGCAGTTACCTATCTTTTTTAGACCGTGCGAAACTTTATGTATATATGGAACAATGGCCATCCTTTTCTTTTCTGTATTGCGTTTAGGTCGTTCACCCCATCTTATTCTCTTTAATAAATCCTCTGCAACGGCTGTAAGTAATGCACTAGGATATCCTGTTGACTTTAACCTGGCGATTTGAGCATCAAAGCTAACCTTAAGTGAATGAATACAAGACTTATTAAGCACACTGGTGAGACATAATTTAACAATGCCTCGCTTAACAAGCTTGGAGTGTGCTGACTGAAAATTACGAGGTTTCTTCCCTCTCGGTTTGTATGACCAACATACATGATGCTCCGAAAAAATTAATCTGAGGTCCAAGAACCGTAAGGAACCTTCTGTGGAGAGCTCATGAGTGATTTCTGGTGGATCTATACAGGATTTACAACAGGAAAGAACATTAGAGACTAATATTTGAAAGTCCTTAGCTGCACAATCTAGCACAATCAAAAAATCATCTACAAAGCGAAACACCTTCACAACAGAAGAAGCATCTAAGCTACGTGAAAGGATCCGGCCCCGATGCGCGAGGTAAAGGTTACTCAAAACTGGTGCTATGCATGAACCAATGCATACCCCTGCTTTTCGGAGAAAGGTGTTACCCTCCCAACACGCAAACATGGATTTAAAATATACGGTGAGCAGTTCAAGGAAACCACCTTGCAAAAATCCTGACGCGGTCTGAAAAGCAATAAGTCATGTATTTATTCAATTAAGGTTAGCTTTGATGCTCAAATCGCCAGGTTAAAGTCAACAGGATATCCTAGTGCATTACTTACAGCCGTTGCAGAGGATTTATTAAAGAGAATAAGATGGGGTGAACGACCTAAACGCAATACAGAAAAGAAAAGGATGGCCATTGTTCCATATATACATAAAGTTTCGCACGGTCTAAAAAAGATAGGTAACTGCATTAACATTAATGTTGCTTTTTCAGCACCAAATAAGCTTCTAAGCCTGTGCAGGAAGGTGAACGGTTCGGCACACCGGGAAGTTGGTTGTTTGAAAAAGCACCAAAAGAGCTTTGTAAATTGTACTGAAGGAGTCGTATATTCTGTCCCACTCTCATGTGGTAGAGAGTATGTACGCTAGACTGGAAGGTGTTTGAATGATCGTTTAAGAGAGCATTTTTATAACACCCACCGAGTCGTAGCTGGACACTTGGGAATCCATTGTCGCGATTGTGGCTGTATAGCACATTTTGAAAATTGTTCTGTAATAGGTAGGAGTAGAGACGCATTGACTAGAGAAATAATGGAAGCGGAAAGGATAGCACAGCTGAAGGACAAGTCTGTAAGTAGTCCTTCTATAGCGCTGTCGACCAAAGAGCTCCAATTTCTATCTAAATGATAGCGATGAGGGAGAGGGACAATT